CTGGTATGAGTGGAGGCGCCATGGAGGCCCATCCCGAGCCTGAGCGCCGGCCAGCGGGGTGCGGCAGCCCAGCGCGGACGCCGGAGCTGGCGCGGGGCCCCAACCCGAGGCGGCCGAAGGAGGGCGCGCGGGCCCTGGCTGAATTCGCGGCGCTGCACGGCCCGGCGCTGTACGCCTCGGGGGTCCCTGAGCGCTACTGGGGCCGCCTGCTGCACAAGCTGGAGCACGAGGTGCGGGTAGGGCCTGGGCCGGGGACTGATCCGGCCCGTCGTGGGCTGTGGGGTGGCGGCGGCCGCCAGGAGGACACGTGCAGCCCAGAACAGGGAGGCTGGCCAGGGGACTTCGCGGCCACAGCGGCCCTGGCGTGCGTGTCCTGGAGGGTTGGAGTGGCCAGGATGAATGCAGGAGGGAGAGGTTTGATGGGGAATCGCCCCAATTGCCGCAGGGAGCGATTTGAGTGCTTAACAGTGGCAACCACGTGGGGCTGGGGACCTGGGAGGGGTCCCGATTACAAGGCCCTTCTGCCAGACACCTGGGCCAGGACCAAGGCTGGCCGCAGTGCGAACTGTAATCGCATCAGCTCTGGCTACCGGTGTGCCGGCCCTGGTGCTGACTCCTCCCACCACACACCTGGGAGGCGTGAGATGCATCACCCCATTGCCCAGATGAGAAAACTGAGGTTCGGGGAAAGGAAGTGACTCTCCCAAGATCTGCCAGACTCCCAAAGCTTGCGTTACGTACTCCCCTGCCCCCACCCCCAGAACAGGAGTGTATTGGAAGGGTTCTTAAACACCTTTCAACTGACATACCCCTGTTTTGCAGATTGAAAAAAAAAAAACGAGGGAGATGAAGAAGGGGTTTAACAAAAATGGAAAGGGTTTAGATGCCTCTGGAACGTCTCCCTCCTTTTTAAGGGCAAAGGTTCCATTCTGCTAGGACCCTGTGCTCACTTGGGGCTCTCAGTGGTGTCCCTTGGTCTCCCGGAGGGCCCTGGTTTTTGTTTTACTTTGTGGTGGTCTGCCCAGGTGGGGCGAAGTGTGTCCACACAGCACCTGTCTACCTCTGTCTGCTCTTGTCTCTCACACTGTCTGCCCAGGTGGGGCGAAGTGTGTCCACACAGCACCTGTCTACCTCTGTCTGCTCTTGTCTCTCACACTGCCATCAAGTGGATACTTCGGATTCATCTCTGCCCTATCGGTCAGGGTAAACTTCCTGTGAGTTTCAGAGACTGTAACTCTTTATGTCATTAGAAAGCCCTCCTTTTCTTTTGAGAAGTGGGTAGTGGTTTCGAACTGCTGATCTTTCAGATCACAGCCCAAATCATCACCACTACGCCACCGAACACAGCTCACCTAGTGGGCTTTTTTACTTAGCTAGAGCCTGGCCTCTCTTCCAGGGCTGCGCCCTGGCCCAGACAAAACAAGTACTGAAGATGCAGGTGACAGAATAGAACCTTAAGCCCACGGATTGGATGTCAGGACCAGAGCTTGGCCGCATAGCAGTGCTTCTGAACCACTTCCCGCCACTGTTTCATCCAGCTGTAAAATCAGGAGTTGGACCAAGAGTCTCCCATACAAACACGTTTTTGTTGTTGTTTTAAAATCCTCTTTCAGCAGCATCTCAGTGAATGACACAGTACATTTCCTTTGCCCTGCCCCTCAGCTCCACCCCATTTCCTGAGCGCTTTCCCTGGGCGAGTGCGGAAGGGAGGATTCAAAAGTCCCCAGGGTGCTGAGTGGAAGCGCCCCTGGATCCTGCCCAGCCAGCAAGTGCTCTGTCATTCCACTCACCCACCGCTCACCCACCGTGTGTCTCCTCTTGGGGGTGGTGAAGAGGGGATGGCCTGGCCCAGCCCCTAGTGGTCAGTTACCTAATCCTCCCATCTGCCTCTCTGGTCTGCCCTATGTTGCTTCAGCCTGGCTTCGTGTTTTTCTATGACCCTCCCTAGAAAGGGAACAATGGCCGTGGCAGAGCTGTGAGTCACAGCCTTGCCAGTCTCAACAGCCTACTGCTCCTGCTACAGCCCCAGGGGTGCAGCTGCTGGAAAGTGGACAGCTCTTCAACCCAAGGCAGGGCCAGTGGCCCTCGTGGCCAGATGAGAAAAGAGGCTTCCTTTGAGGAAGGGCATGTCTTAGAAATCGGTGTCACCTCTGTGACCACACACACACACACACACAAGACTACTGCCCTTCCCTTTACCTCCCAGGTGCTCCTTCCGTCCCAGCAGGGAGGGATGAAGGATGCCTCGCTCCTCAGCCAGGGGTCAGCCAGGCTCTGGGTCAGGTTTGGGAGCCAGGTCTGCAGACCTCAGGGCTTCGTCCTTGGTCTGTAGGGAGGGAAGGTGGTGGCCCCTGGACAACGTGAGAGTGGAAAGGGGTCTCGGTCTAAGACTCAGTCCGTCCATCTTCTTGTTTGCACCCAAGAAAGAGCCCGGCCCTCCTCCAGTGTCCAGTTGAGCCTGCCCCTCCACTACCACTGGGAGGCAGTCAACCACCCTCACCCTCCCACCCGGAGCCTGGCATTTGTTCCTAAGGGGGGTCCTGCCCACCTCCCTTCCTCCCTGGCTTCCCGCTGACTGTGACTTCTGACACGCCCCCCAGGTCACCTCAGCTCATGGACCAGACTTCCCTGTGCAAAGGTCACACATGACCCCTGGCCACAGGCCAAAGCACCCACCAGCCCAGCACACAAGTCATCGCATGTGGTTCCTACACTGGGGGTGTGGGGGGGCGGCGGGCTGCTGAAAGTTTTTTTTTGTTTTTTTTTCTTTTTTAACATTTTATTAGGGGCTCATACAACTGTTATCCCAATCCATACACACATCAATTGTGTAAAGCGCATTTGTACATCGTTTCTCAAAACATTTTCTCTCCATTGAAACCCCCGACATTAGGTCCTCATTTTTCCCTCCCTCCCTGCTCCCCCCTCCCTCATGAGCACTTGATAGTTTATAAATGGGTATTTTGTCTTATCTTGCCCTGTCCGACGTCTCCCTTCATCCACTTTTCGGTTGTCTGTCCCCCAGGGAGGAGGTCACACACAGTTCCATGTAATCAGTTCCCTCTTTCCTACCCATTCTCCCTTTACCCTCCCTGTTTTGCCACTCACACCACTAGTCCTATAGGGCTCATCCGTCCTGGATTCCCTGTATTTTCAGTTCCTATCTGTACTAGTGTACCTCCTCTGGTCTAGCCAGACTTGCAAGATAGAATTCGAGTCATGCTGAAAGTTTTTGACAGAGCTGTGACAAATGGTTTTTTCTTGTGGGGAGAGAGACTGGCGTCTGTGGGTACCCACTGTGTTCCAGGGACTTGTGGGACACTTTTATCTAACCTTCAAAACTGACCAGGGAAGGAACACACCCCTCTTTTACACTGAGGATGCAAACTCAGGGCACTGGGGCGGCCACTGGTGTGAATCCCTTGGTCCCTGAGAGGCTGCCTTTGGGGCCTGGCTTCCCCTTGCTTTCCAAGGGGCTGGACTCACTCTGTCCCAGGGGCCAGTGTCCGTTAGGGGGAGGGCCTATATCTCAAGAAGCCTCAGTTTCCCCACCTGTAAAACGGCATGTTGGGGTAGTATGGGGGGTGGGGGTGGGGTGACCCAAAGGTCCTGCCTCTCGGAAGGGCTTGGGCCTGTCCTTGAGGCCCAAGGTGCCCCTCCCACAACCCTGCTGATAGTGCCCTGGCCTGCAGGTTTTCGACGCCGGAGAGATGTTTGGGATAATGCGGGTGGAAGAGGTGGAGGAGGACGAGAATGAGGAAGAGGAGGATGGGCAATCCAAGAGGAAGAGGCCCAACCCCGGGAGCGAGCTATGCTACAAGGTCATCGTGACCAATGAGGACGGGCTGCGGGCCGCTGACCCCAACAGGTGGGCATGGGAAGCCAGGCCCCCGATCGCATCAAGGAGGTGGCGGAACCCCACAGGGGCCGAGTGTGTGCCGAGGTGCCAGGGAGGGTCAGCCCAGCGTGGAAACGCCCCCTCTCACCACACTTGGGACTGGCGGGAAAGAGGCCCAGTAGTGGCGCTACAGTTAAAGCACCCGGCTGCCCACCCAAAAGTTGGCGGCTCAAACCCAGTAGCCGTTTTGTGGGAGCAAGATGAAGTCGTCTACTGCCTGGAAAGTGATCCCTGCCCTGCCCCTCCCCCCAGCCCCCCAAGCTCCGCGGGTCAGTTCTACTCCGTCCTGCAGGGACACTGGGGGACCCGCTCCTGGGGAAAGGGCTTAGGGTTCAGCTGCATCCCTAGAGAGGTAGGTGGTAGGGACTCCTCCGGCCCCACTTCAGAAGTAGGAAGAGGGATGGGAACGGTCAGCAGGGCTGGGCTAGCCACTTTGGCCTCCCAGCCGCCATAGCTGCCCCAGGAAAGGGGTGGAGCTGGGATGGGCGTGGCCATCGCCCTGCACGGCACGCCCACTTCGCTCTGCCCGCAGCATCTTCCTAATTGACCACGCCTGGACATACCGCGTGGAGCAAGCCCGCCGGCAGCTGCAGCAGACACCGGGGCTGCTGCACCGCATGGCCAGCCTGATGGGCATCGAGTTCCACGGCGAGGTGCCCAGCCCTGAGGTCGTGGACCTGGTGCTAGCAGAAATGTGGAAGTTTAACCAGACCTACCAGCTGGCCCAGGGGGTGAGTGGGCGATGGTGGGGAGGGGCTTCTCTGCTGTGGGGCAGAGGGAGGGGCCATGTGGACACCACCTCGCCCATGCAGCCCCCTCCTGGCACACTACCTCTGCCCTGGGCTGGCCACAGACCCCCTGGATTCCATCTGCTTCCGGACCAGCCCCTGAGCACCCACCCCTCTGTGCCCCGTCCACAGACGGCCGAGGAGAAGGTACCTGTATGGTACGTCCTGGACGAGTTTGGCGCGCGCATCCAACACGCCGATGAACCCACCTTTGCCACCGCCCCCTTCTTCTACATGTCCCAGCAGGTGGCCTACACGCTGCTGTGGCCCCTGAGGGACCTGGACACGGGTGGTGAGTCGGGCCCCCTAGCTGCCCCCCTCCCTCCAGCACAGGCCCGGGCTCCGCCCTCCACCCCCTGACAGGTGTGTCTCGGTACAGAGGAGGTGACCCGGGACTTTACTTACGGTGAGACGGACCCTCTGATCCGCAAGTGCATGCTGCTTCCCTGGACCCCCGCTGACCTGCTGGACCACAGCTCCTCCACACCGGAGCCCCCGGAGGGGTACTACGTGGTACTGCCGGCCCAGCCCAGTCTTGCCTTCTGGACTTCGTCTCTGCCCTGTCCCTGGCTTCCCTGAGCCCAGCTGGGGGCTACAGGGAATGGAGGGAAGTCTGAGGAGCATTGGAGAGAGAGGGGCTCTGAGTGGAATCACCCATTCGACCCACCTCTACCCCCTGACCCTTTCCTGTGGCTGAGGGATGTTTGGGGGCGCTGAGAGTCCCCTTCTGGTGTAGGGATGCTGTATCCAAGTATGCTGTGGGCAAGGCAGACTCTGAGCAGGTCACCACCAGGGCTGTCACCATCACTGATAACTAAAGGGTTGGCAGGTAGGGACCTATCGAGGCAGGATGGTGATAGAGGAGGGACCGGAACCTCTGAGAAGAAGTTGCCACCTGACCCAGGCCAGACGGGCTGGGCTGTTGATGGCCGAGCCCTCTCCTCACCCCCTGGTCTCCTGCCCGCCTGGCCCCCACTGGGCATTCTCTGTTTCCAGACCCATTCTGACAGACCCTGCGCTCTCTGTCCTTGCCCCCAATCCATGGCCCTGAGGCTTGTGGGAAGAAGTCAGTGATTTGACCCGAGACAGGGCTGGCTGGCTCTGGGTGCTGCTGACAGGGAGAGGCCTAGCCAGACCTCGAGTGAGGAGGACGAAGGCCCTTTTTGATGCCCAAGCTGGGATTTCTCCGGGAGCTGTCAACCCAAAGACCAGTGTGACCTGGTCTCCGCCCGCCCTGGCAAAGTTAATAATTCCATTGAGAAGATAAGACATAGGCCGTGAAAAGAGAGGGGTGGCGGCAGGTGTCCAAAGAGCAGTTTCGATCATAAACACTTGAGAAGCCTGAACCAGGTAAAGGATGCTTTCTGCAAATGGACATTTGAGGGGGCAGCGAGGGGGGTGGGGTTGAGATAGGAAGATTTTATAAAGTAAATCTCAGCTGCCCCTTTGAGGAGAGAGAGGTTGGATCATTTATAGTGGTGGAAACACCCCAGCAAGTGGATGCAGAGGTCACGTGAGCTGCATTCTGGGGTTCTAGGGCAGCTGCCGGGAAGGATTCGCCATCATTCCTCAATACAGCTCCAATGTTGGCTTTTCTGTTTCCCCACCAATGGGCGTTTAGGCTGTTTCTGTCGCCCGGCTGCTGTGAATCCTGCTGTGATGGACATGGGTGGGCCTGTGTGTATCTTCCTGTGGCGGCTCCTACCTCGGTAGGAGAAGCATAGACTAGAGGAATTGCCTGGTCCCAGGCTATTGGGTACTGTTATCCCCGGGGCTTGGCTAGTGTTGATAAGAGTTTGACAAGCCCACCAGCGGTGTCTGCAAGTTCCCATCTCGGCACCCTCTCCAGCATTTGTTCTTGTTTTGTTGAGCTCTGCTAGGGAACCTGAGCAAAGTGGTATCTCTCATCATTGTTACAGTGGCAGCTCTGGAATGGCAAGCGTTTTTTCCATGTTTAGTGGCCACCCGAATGTCCTCTTTGTTGGCTCTTCATGCCCTCTGTGTGTGTTGGCGGAGGGCGAGGAGGGCATGCTGTGATAAACCACCGAGCAGGCCAAGTCCGGACCAGCCCTTGGGGCTCCACTCAGAAAGAGCCCCTCCCAGGACAGGTTTGGGGACAGCGGTGAGAGAATTCAGAACATCGTCTGGAATCTTCTTGGGACACAAAGCTAGGGTGTCCAGCATCTAAGGGGCCCTGGGCCCCAGCATCCATTTGTAAAAATAACGAGTTTCCTCCTGGATACTGGCTTATGTTTAGAACACTGTCCCTTGGTGCCTGCCAGGTGCTGGCTGGTAGAGGGTCTACAGAGCCCTCAGGAGGCTCCCTGAGGTCCAGGTGTCGGGAGGTTACCAGGCAGGTGCGGCCTGCGCCATGCACCTGACATGCCAGGTGGGGGAAGTGGGCCCTCTTGTGCCTGATATCTATCCTCAGGCACCTGTCTCCACCCCCGTGTCTCTAGGCCATTCTGGAGGAGAACAAGGAGAAGCTGCCGGTGGCCATCAACATAGCCACGTACCCCAATGACCACATCTTCAAGTAGGTGCCCGTCTCTGTCCCACCTGGGACTGCCCCTCGGCCTTCGGCGCAGGAGTCTCAATCTAGACCCCTGATCTAAACACTGGCTGTTCCTGTAGGCACTATGGATTGGTGCAGCCCAAGGCAGGGAGGGCAGCGAGTCTGTGTGCCACAGGCCCCTGGTGAAATTGGCTCCGAGGAAGGGGACTTGGGTGGCCAGGTGGGGCTTGTGGGTTATCGGAGAGCAGCTGGGCATGTCGAGGCCCACCCAGCTCAGAAACAGGGTGCAACCAGTGTGGGTGCCAAAATGCAGAGAGGAACGGAGACTGCCCCTCACGATTCTGCCTCTGGAGGGAGGGCAGGGACTCATTTCTCGTTTTTTTACCCAGGATCTACTCGGATGTCCAGCAGGTGCTCAGCCACCTGACCCATCCGCGCTTCACCTTCACCATGAATGAGGCCGAAGCCGACGTCCTCTACAACTTCTCCCACTTCAAGGACTACCGGTGAGGCCCCGCCTGCCGCTTCCCCCACCCAGCACCTGGGGCACCCCCACCCACCCAGCCCTTCGCTCCGCCCCGGCCCACAGGAGGCTCAGTGAGGAGAGGCCCAGGGTGCTGCTGAACCAGTTCCCCTGCGAGAACCTGCTGACCGTCAAGGACTGCCTGTCCTCTATCGCCCGTCGTGCCGGGGGTCCCGAGGGCCCGCCCTGGCTGCCCCGCACCTTCAACCTTCGGAGCGAACTGCCCCAGTTCGTCAGCTACTTCCAGCAGCGGGAGAGGCGGTGAGTCAGTCCATCAGGGCCCTGCAAGCCGCCACCCCGCCCTGGACCCCTCAGGCCACTGGCCTGGTCCTTAGCCGAAGCCACTCCCTTCTTCTGGGCACTTAGCCCTAAGGCCTGGTCCCCTGGGAAATGGGGAGGAGTGGGGCGGGGCCAGACCGGGACTCAGCTGCCTGACTCCCCCAGGGGCGAGGACAACCACTGGATCGTCAAGCCCTGGAACCTGGCCCGCAGCCTGGACACCCACATCACCAAGGACCTGCACAGCATCATCCGGCACCGTGAAAGTACCCCCAAGGTGCGCCCCTCGACGCTCTGCCCTCTCCCCAGCCGTTTTTCAGAGGTGTCCAGAACAATCATGCAGAAGCTACCGAGCTCCCATCCCCCGCCCCCTCGCTGCCGCTTCTGGGACAGCGGTTCCCAACCTGGGGGTCGCGACCCCTTTGGGGGTCGAACCAACCTTTCACAGGGGTCAGCCGATTCATCACAGTAGCAACATGAAAGTGATGAAGTAGCAACGAAAATAAGTTTATGGTTAGGGGTCACCACCACGGGAGGAACTGTATGAAAGGGTCGTGGCATCAGGGAGATTGAGAACCACTGTTCTAGAAGGATCTTGAACTCCTTTTTCACGTTCCCCGCCATTAAAATGAAGATCGAGGCGGTGGCGGTGGGCAGTGTGGGTTAGGCTTTGGGCTGCTGACCTCAAGGGTTAGCAGTTCAAACCCACCAGCTGCTCCCGGCATAAAGATGAGGCTGCCTGCGCAGCCTAAGAAACCCGACGGAGGGAGGGGCGCTGGGAGGGGCAGCGGGTGGGTTGGGGAGCAGACGAAACAGGGTAGGGCGACGTGGTTGGGCCACTGCAGCTTGGGGACACAGAGGTCAGGGCCTCTGGCTGGTGGGCAGCGGGCCGGGTGGCGAGGAGTGTGCTGGGAGCTGCCAGCCCGGTGATGAGGCCACCTGGCCCCCAGGTCGTGTCCAAGTACATCGAGAGCCCCGTCCTGTTCCTCCGCGAGGACGCGGGCCTGGTCAAGTTCGACATTCGCTACATCGTACTGCTGCGCTCCGTGATGCCCCTGCGGCTGTTCGTTTACGACGTGTTCTGGCTGCGCTTCTCCAACCGGTAACCCTGGCAACGGGCTCTCTTTACGGACCTGGGCCAGCCCTGCCCAGCGGCGGGTCGCGAGTCCACTCCCTGCTGCCTACCCATCCGACAGCGGACATCATCCTGGGGCGCGGGGGCATCTCGGGGCCCCTGGGACTGTCCCCGGCCAGTGGGTCGCTCGGCTCCCCTGAGCCTGGGTGGGAGGCTGGGACTCTGCCCACTGACCTGGGGGGCAGCGCCGCTCAGGGTCCCCCATGGGCGCCTCTGCTTGTGCGCAGGCCCTTCGCGCTCGACGACCTGGACGACTACGAGAAGCACTTCACCGTCATGAACTACGACCCGAACGTGGTGCTGAAGCAGGTGGGCTCCCCGAGCAGGGGCTCCAGGCTCAGGGCCGGCCGTGCACTGCCGGTAGACGGGCGCCCTGGTGAAGGAGGCTCGACCCAAATGATTTCACCCACAGCCCAGGACACAAGCTGGGGACAAGGGGCTGTAGCCAGGCAGGGCATCGAGGTGGGGGCGGTGCAGCCCCCTGTGCTGAGTGCTTCCCTCTGGGGTGTGTGCAAATGCACGTGTGTATACAGTGGAGTGTACGTGTGTTTGTGTGTGGCGTGCGTAGCTGTGGCATGTGCACGTATGTGGAGTGCATGCTTACGGAGTGTGAATGTGCATGTGTGGGTTCACAGGTAATAAATCTGTACATATGTGGAGTGTGTTGAATATGTGTTAAATGTGGGGGGTATGCATGTGTAAAGTGTGTGTGTGTGTGTGTGTGTGTGATGTGGGAAGATGTACCTGTGGAGTGATCAGGTGGGGTGTGCGTGTGTGAAGTGTGTGCATGTGTGGAGGTGTATATCTAATATATAGAGTGCATGTATGTGGGGCAAGTGAAGTGTGCATGTGGAATGTGTGTGGATTATGCATTTGTAGTGTGCAGGAGTGTACACGTGTGATTGGGTGCATTTGGAGTGCATGTGCACATGTGAGAAGCGTATACTTGTGTAATGGGTGTATGGAGTATTAAGTGTATGAGAAGTGTGTACATGTGTGCACTTGGCGTGTGTGTGAAATTAAATTTATGTATGAACTGCATTTGTGCATGTGAAATGTGGGTGTGTGAAATTTGCACATGTGAGAAGTTCATGTGTGAAGTGTGCATGGGTGGTGTGTATACATGTATGAAGAGTATGTGTAAAGTGTGAATGGGTGAGGTGTGAACTGTGTGTAAAGTACATGGGTTGAGGCATGTATATATGTGTTTGTGAAGTGTGTTCATGGGTGAGGTATATACATATCTGAAGAGTATGTGTAAAGAGTGCATGGGCGAGGTGTGAAGTAGGTGTGTAAAGTGTGTGTGGGTGAGGTGTGTACATATATGACGTGTGTGTGTGTGCATGGGTGAGGTGTGTACTTGTAAAGTGTGTCCCTGCATACCCGGTCCTGTCAGGGTGTGCCCATCCAGGCTGAAGCAGGGAACCAGCCCTGCCCTGTCCTCCTTGGGAGAGATGATCATGCTGTCCCTGCAGCTCTCTGAGCTGTGCTGGGCCCTCGGGATGGCATGCCTCCAAGTCAGAGCACATATGCTAAGGACTTCTGGGTGGGGAGTGTGTGCCCAATTTTCAAGCGGCTCGTCCAGGGCAGGCACAGAGCTCAGGCCCAATCCTCGGGACTCCACCAGGCAGGAGACGGGGGCTCCTGGGCCTGGAGCCTGCTGGGAGGCCCGGGCAGTGACGCCCCTGTCTGTCCCAGGTGCATTATGATGAGTTCATCCCGGCATTTGAGAAGCAGTACCCAGAGTTCCTCTGGAAGGATGTGCAGGTACGGCTGAGCCCTCCAGGGCAGGGTGGGCAGGCTAGGGCACACGAGCCGCCCCTCATGAGCTGGCTATGGGTCCAGCAGGGGTGGTGGCCCATGGCAGGAACCCCAGAGGAGGGAGCCCCTGGTGTCAAGGCCAGTGGGAACTGGGTGTGGGGGCACAGCAGCAATACAACCCCACGTTCCAAGTTCAGTGACCACCAGGGGCTCTGAGGAGGGACACGGAGATGGACACAGGGCCACGCTTGGGGCAGAGCTTCAATACTGGTCCAGAGGCAGGAAGGTGTCGGGGTGACTTGGCCAGGGCTGACCTGGGGGACTCCCAGCCTACAGGCCCCTGACCTGCCCCTTGGCCTCTAGGCGGACATCTTCCAGGCCTTCAAGGAGCTGTTCCAAGCGGCCTGCTCCCGGCCTGCGCCCATGGGCCTGTATCCCTACCCCTCGTCCCGGGCTGTGTACGCCATCGACCTCATGCTGAAGTGGGACCACCGCCCCGATGGTGAGTAGGCTGGGGCTCCCGTCCTGTGGTCCAGCCTCCCAGCAGGGCTCTCCCTCCCAGGACGCCTTTAGTGATGGCAAAGTGAACCAGGCCTCCCCAGAAAACACCCTGGGAGGAAGATCTGCAGTCGACAGGTGGCGGGAGGCAGGGATCGGCAGCCCCTGGCAGGCCTGGGTCCTCCTGCTCCTGTCTGACAGACTCGGGCCGTTCCTGGGGCCAGAACCCAGGCAGCTCCAGGCTCTGCAAGGAGCGGCCTCACCCAGGCCCCCCGAGAAGCCAGGGTGCCCACTGGGCACCTTCCCCCACTCCCACCCCACGCCACCCTCAGGGCATCAGACCCGTGATCACCCTGTGCGCCCTCTGCCCCCCAGGGAAGCGAGCCATGCAGCCCCAGCTCCTGGAGGTGAACTTCAACCCGGATTGCGAGCGCGCCTGCAAGTACCACCCCACCTTCTTCAACGACGTCTGCAGCACCCTGTTCCTGGACCAGCCCAGCGGCTGCCACGTCACGTGCCTGCTCTAGAGCTTGGGGCTCCCCCAGCCTGCCTGCTGCCCGGCCCCCTTGGAGCACAGGCTGTTGTTCCCCAGGGGTCCCCCAGTTCAGCTGGGTGCTTCTGGGCACCCCAGAGCTTGTCTCCCTTCCAAAGGGTGTTGGGGGAGACAGCTCCGTGGGGAAGTGGGAGCCCCTGGGGTGTAGCCAGACCAACTTCCTCCCCACCAGGGTACCCCTGTGCAGGGCTGCCCGGAGCACCCCGTGCTTGCCACACCACCGCCAGCCCTGCCCTAGTGCCCAGGTCCAGCCCAGCTGGGCCCTTCCCCAGCACACCTCTGATGGGCATTGTTGCCTTCCCGTTGGGCCAGGTGGGCCCACTCCTGGGCCATAGTGAAGTCCGCCCACGTGGATCCCTGTCGTCCCCAAGACCTCTCTACTCTGGGGACTCCAGCACTATCCATCGTGATGCCAGGGCCATGCCCGGCAGCAGGCCAGAGCGTGGGTGGCTGAGACGTGAAGTGCCCACAGCAGGCCAATGCTGCCACTTTCTAGGCTCTCAGAATGCTGACCTTTTGTGGAAGGAAACTGTCAACACTCTGCTTCCTCCTTTTGTCAGCGTGTGGGCTTGGTCCCGCTGGCTAGCCATCCGAGGAACTGCTGGGGGTCTGGCATCTGGTGTCAGGACTCCCGCAAAACATCCCCACGTGAGGGCCAGGCCGCTGGCTGTGTGGTCTGTGTAAATGTCCCTCCTCCTCCGGCCTCCTCCTCTGCCAGGTGTGCATCTTCACCCTCAGTCAGCAAGGCCCTGCCTTTCGGGGGGGTCACTTTTCAGTGAGTGGAAGTCGGGTTGCTGCCAGCACTCTTCGGGGCGCTTGTCAAACCAGGATACTCTCCCTGGTTTCTTCCTAGGATAGCTGTGACACCCCCAACTGGATTTGTACTGCAATAAAGAGTCCTTCTTGTACATGTGCCTCGGTTTCTCTTGGGGACCCTGAAGCCACGGGCTTCACATTTCTGAGCCAAGATGCCAAGTTGAAGTAAGCCGTTCGACCGTGGCGCCCCCAGCCCAGTGAGGCGGTAGCACCAGATTCATCGTGGATTAGGCAGCGCCAGGTAAAGGGTTTTAGGCTGGCTTGGAGGAGCAAAGCCGGTGGCGTGATTACATGCGGGAGCTTCCAAAAATCCACAGAAAAATTGAATGAAAAGATACCGAGCTTTTCCCACAAACCTTTTGAAGCCCCGGCATATCGAGCGTTATTTCAAAGAAATGACTCATGCATTTGTGGAGGTTGGCAAATCCATGGGTCAGGCATTAGGCCGGAGGCTTCTTCCGAGTGAATGTGGTTGCAGGGACTGAAGAGCCCCTTGTCCCAAACCGGCGGGTCAGATGGCAGGCTGCTGGCTCACATCCCAAGAGCCAGAGATGAGAGCAGGACAGGTGCAGGATGGAGAGGGAGCTTTGCCAGAGCACCCACATATATTGGATGCAGGTCGTGCCCCCTGGGAAATGCCTCTTTCAACTGATTGGCTGCTCATAGCCAATCACAAGATGGGAGAAGATTACATAATACCTGCCAACCACTGAATCCTGGCCTAGCCAAGTTGATACATAACCTTTACAGGACACATATGAGGTACCAGGGCCTCAGGTGGATTATGATGTCTGTTAGGTGTGATAGGTTTATTGTGCCAACCTGGCCGATAAACGTGTGATTAATAAGGTTGCAGTTTAATTAAAGGGTAAAGAGAGAAATGGCTTGGCAAGCCTCGCCTTTCTGTCTCTTGCTCGCTGATGACCAGTGTGTGGCTGCCTTAGTTAGTTCTCTGCCTCAACTTGTGAGCTACACTGCCTGTGGAACACCCAACCCGTGAGCCATGTCGCTATAGTTTGAGGTTCCTTCAAGACCTGCTTCGCCACACTGCTGGTGTGTACATCCCTTGAGCTGGGGACTGTTGGACCCTGTTATCTGGCTAACTGTTGGTGACCTGCCCTGCGGCTTGCTACCTGTGGCAGACTGCCTGTATTGCTCTGCAGAAGACTCAGCTGTCTGCTTCCTTGACTTGCACCCAGCAGCCCTAGTGAGGTGAAGGACTGCCAGTGTATTAACTGCCTCTTGGAAGTGAGTTAAACTGAACCCTCTGTACTGCTCTGTGGACTAACTAGTTGTTTATTTCACTGTGATTGTGTGTGTGTGTGTGTGTGTGTGTGTGTCCTGGTTATGTTTCTCTAGAGAACCCTGTCTAACACACTGGGTGGCTTTGAAAAAGAGCTTCTTCTCAGTGGAACGGAAGTAGGGGCACACAACAAGAACCAGCTCCTGCTCATGTCCCTTAAGGCACTAGGTGGATCCAGCAAGCTGGTACTGCAAAGTGTCCGGCAGAAGGAGGACGGCATTCTGCACCAGATAGTGTAAACCCCAGAGCCACTGTGATCCGCCATACAGCCAGCCCCCTGTCTCTGCACTGGCTTCTCTGCACTTCCAAGCTCCTGCCTCTCACCAGAGCCTGGGCCACAATCAGAAGATGGGACAAATGCTGAGGAAGGTGTGGAGAACTGGTTCTTGTCCACTAGCTACTTCCTGTTCCAAGAGCCCATCATCACAGCAGGAGTTGACCCAGGCTGGGCATTTGGAGTGGACTGGAGAGAATCCCAGTACCCAGGCCCTGCAGGATGAGAATCTGGAGGTACATTTAGGAAGTCTAGCAGCATGAGGAGCACTGGTGGGCTTGTTGGAGACGGGTGGGACTGCTCCGGGCAGAGTAGAGAGCCCAGTGTTTCTCTCAAGGAGCTTCTGGTAGTCTTGAACTGCCTACTATGGGAATCATAGCCCGACACATAACCACTACACCATCCGGGCTCCTAAGGGGCTGTAAATCTTTACAGGAGTGGACTGCCACTTCCTTCTCACAGGAGGCTGATAGTTTGACCCACTGAACTTTCCGCTAACAGCCTACGGCACCATGAGAGCTCCCTCCTATGACATAACCAAACCCACTGCCATCAAGTTGGGTCCAACTCATGCAAATCCTCCTATCCAGGGAACCAGCCTGTCCGTTTACAGGATGTGGTAGTTACATAACTTCATGTCAACTTGATGAATGGAGTGAAGGGGTGGAGCTGAGCCTGTCCATCAGGTCACAGTCTGACGATGCCTCCTGGTGGGGGTGACCTTCTCATGAGGATTCTGGGAACTTCTCTCTTTCTCCCTGGAGGCGGGCCACACTCTCTCTCTGCCTTGGTCTTCCTGCTGACCAGCCATGCTGATGGCAGCCAGAGCCCTGAAGATGCCATTGAATCCACAAGGCTTGTCTCCCACCGGCCTGAGATCTTCCTGCTTTCAGCATCATGACATGTGCTGTGTGAGTCTGGAGAGGAGTCTATGGACTAGTATCAGACATAGGGGCTAATATCAGACAGATGGGCTAATATCAGACATATGGACTTGATCTGGACTGAGCTGGGATGTTTTCTCAATATACAATCGCTCTTTGATATAAAGCTCTTTCTTACACATATATGTGTGCCCCTGGTTTGGTTTCTCTAGTGAACCCGGCCTAACACAGCAGCAGCAGACAGCCTCATCTTTCTCTCCAGGACTGGCTGGTGGCTTTGAACGATCCACTTTGTGGTTAGAAGCCCAGCGCCTAACCCACAGCACCACCAGAGCACCTTTTTCCTTAAAATCCCTCAAACCCAAATTCACTGCCGTCGAGTGGATTCTGACTCAGCCCCCGAGAGAGGGCTTCGAAGGCTTTATCTAGGCTGTGACCATGGCCTCAAATCCAGCCACGGAGGATGGTGCGGGACCGCGTGGTGAACTGCGCTATTACTGTCTGTGGGTCACCAGGAGTCAGAACCACCGTCACGGCCCCTAACCGAGCTGCGTGCTCCCTCCTCGCCGGAACAGACGGTCTCCTCCTTCTCCCAGGCGCAATGCTTGGTAGCAGCTGTGCCCACCTGCCCAGCTGGTGCCTGTTCTGTGAGCTGGAGACCATGATGTATGAGGACAGGCCAGCCTAAGAGTCTGTGGAATGGGCAGAGCTAGTCTGGATGGGCCCAGCCAGACACTCTGTTGCGACTCGCTGTCCACAAACCTGGTCCCACGTGAGGCCCTGACCGTGGGAGCCAGGCTTATTTGCAGGGTCAGGCGGTGTCCTGGCCTGCGTGTCAGAGGTGGCGTGGACCACTGTGCCCCTGGCGCTCAGACAGACGTCCGAGGTACAAGGCCTGAGAGAAGGCAAGCTCTGACCATCTTGGTAAGGCCTGACCAGTTGTCCTGATGATGTCCACTCTGTTCATGGAGAATCCGTGCGGCCACAGTGGAACGCTGCCCCGGGGCGGGGGTTCATTCTGCTCGTTTGCATGGCATGCAGGTTGGAGTAGAAGTGTACACTCAAGGATTTGTCACCACTTCTGTTTCCTCGCCTTGTTTGTGACCAACCACCTCGCTGCCACCTCATTCTTCCCACGCCCTGCGAGACCCCCCTGGAGGATCCTCTGCAGCATGTTACCGGCATGCAAGGTCAACGACGCTGCTCTTTCATTGCAGTGTTCTGTTGGACACACACACACATACACACACACACCCTCTTCCGGTCAGTCGGACACACACACACACACACACACCCTCTTCCGGTCAGTCGGCCAGGCAGCTGTCACACACACACACCCTCTTCCGGTCAGTCGGCCAGGCAGCTGTCTCCCAAATCTGGCATCAACGAGTGGGTGCTTCCAGGGCTTCAGCCACTGGTTGAAACACTTCAGGGGGTGATCCATCGAGTCCTGGAGCCTGGATGTCAGCTTGCCTTTCCTCCTTCTGCACCCTTGGTTCCTGCTCACACGCTACCTCCGGGAATGGTGGATGCCGTCTGGTTCTCCTTGGTTCAGCGACTCTGTGTATTCCTTCCATCTTCTCTGGACGAGCCCTGCACCGTTCACTCTTCTGCCCCTAGAATCTTTCAGTGTGGCAGCTCGAGGCTGGGATTTCTCCTCAAGCCCTTTCGGTTTAGAATCTGCTGAGCCTATTCTTCCTTTTTTCTTGTATTTTCTTTAAGTCGTTTTATTGGGAGCTCGTACAACGCTTCTCACAATCCATACATCCCATCATCAACTTTTTGGTTTTCTAACTATTTTTGGTACATTCGCGGGCCTGTCCGGCCATCACCACGATCCATCTTCGAACACTTTCCTCACCCTGGAAAGAAGCCCTACACGCATTGCCAGCTCCTCCCCATGTCCCCTAAGTTAGTTAATTGTGCCAACCTGGTCAATAAACACATGTGGGGCTAATTGAAAGGCGGAGGGATAAATGGGTGGTGAGCCTCGCCTTTCTAGTTCT